CAGTCATCATCAATACAAAAAGCCAAATGCTTGTTTGATAATCCAGGCGCCAAACATCCCGCTATTTGTGAATGCAAAACCACTTTACACATGACTCACACCTGATTCAAGTTCGAACACTTCTTGAACACTGCCCCCCCCCCCCGATACTGTTACGTCAGTACACCCCCAGGGAACACCTGCCACTATAGTAACCCCCAGGGAACACCTGCCACTATAGTAACCCCCAGGGAACACCTGCCACTATAGTAACCCCCAGGGAACACCTGCCACTATAGTAACCCCCAGGGAACACCTGCCCCTATAGTAACCCCCAGGGAACACCTGGCACTATAGTAACCCCCAGGGAACACCTGACATGACGAAAATTACACCAAAAAAGTTCGTTCCCGGCTCTTGAATATAACATGACAGCAGCACTTACAAACACTCGCGCGCGCGCGCGCACACACACACACACACACACACACACACACACACCTGATCTTTCAGGCATCCCTGTGTACAGGAATCGTAGCAGACGTGTGGAAACAGGCTAACATAGTTCCAATCTACAAAAGTGGCAGCAGGGAAGACCCCCTCAATTATAGACCTATATCATTGACAAGTGTAATAGTGAAAGTATTGGAAAAGCTAATCAAAACTAAATGGGTAGAACACCTGGAGAGAAATGATGTAATATCAGACAGACAGTATGGTTTTCGATCTGGAAGATCCTGTGTATCGAATTTACTCAGTTTCTATGATCGAGCCACAGAGATATTACAGGAAAGAGATGGTTGGGTTGACTGCATCTATCTGGACCTAAAAAAGGCTTTCGACAGAGTTCCACATAAGAGGTTGTTCTGGAAACTGGAAAATATTGGAGGGGTGACAGGTAAGCTTCTAACATGGATGATAAATTTTCTGACTGATAGAAAAATGAGGGCAGTAATCAGAGGCAATGTATCGGAATGGAGAAATGTCACAAGTGGAGTACCACAGGGTTCAGTTCTTGCACCAGTGATGTTTATTGTCTACATAAATGATCTACCAGTTGGTATACATAATTATATGAACATGTTTGCTGATGATGCTAAGATAATAGGAAGGATAAGAAATTTAGATGACTGTCATGCCCTTCAAGAAGACCTGGACAAAATAAGTATATGGAGCACCACTTGGCAAATGGAATTTAATGTTAATAAATGTCATGTTATGGAATGTAGAATAGGAGAACATAGACCCCACACAACCTATATATTATGTGAGAAATCTTTAAAGAATTCTGATAAAGAAAGAGATCTAGGAGTGGTTCTAGATAGAAAACTATCACCTGAGGACCACATAAAGAATATTGTGCAAGGAGTCTATGCAATGCTTTCTAACTTCAGAATTGCATTTAAATACATGGATGGCGATATACTAAAGAAATTGTTCATGACTTTTGTTAGGCCAAAACTAGAATATGCAGCTGTTGTGTGGTGCCCATATCTTAAGAAGCACATCAACAAACTGGAAAAGGTGCAAAGACATGCTACTAAGTGGCTCCCAGAACTGAAGGGCAAGAGCTACGAGGAGAGGTTAGAAGCATTAAATATGCCAAAACTAGAAGACAGAAGAAAAAGAGGTGATATGATCACTACGTACAAAATAGTAACAGGAATTGATAAAATCGACAGGGAAGACTTCCTGAGACCTGGAACTTCAAGAACAAGAGGTCATAGATTTAAACTAGCTAAACACAGATGACGAAGAAATATAAGAAAATTCACCTTCGCAAATAGAATGGTAGACGGTTGGAACAAGTTAAGTGAGAAGGTGGTGGAGGCCAAGACCGTCAGTAGTTTCAAAGCGTTATATGACAAAGAGTGCTGGGAAGACGGGACACCACGAGCGTAGCTCTCATCCTGTAACTACACTTAGGTACTTACACACACACACACACACACACACACACACACACACACACACACACACACACACACACACACACACACACGCACGCGCACGCACACGTACACACACACACGCACGCGCACGCACACGTACACGCACAAGCACACACGTGCACACACACAGGGTAGACAAAGATGGATTATTTAACGCGGGTGATACACGAACAAGGGGACACAGGTGGAAGCTGAGTACCCAAATGAGCCACAGAGAAGTTAGAAAGAACTTTTTCAGTGTCAGGGTAGTTAGTAAACAGAATGCATTAGGCAGTGATGTGGTGGAGGCTGACTCCATACACAGTTTCAAATGTAGATATGATAGAGCCCAGTAGGCTCAGGAATCTGTACACCAGTTGATTGATGGTTGAGAGGCGGGGCCAAAGAGCCAGAGGTCAACCCCCACAAGCACATCTAGTCGAGTACACACACACACACATGCGCGCCTGCACACACACACACATCTCGTGCCTTGGAAGTAACATGCAACCGTGAAAATATTTAAATTATTGGGAAATTGAGCACTTATTGCAACAAAAACGTGCAATATGTGCACCAAACTGGTACACAGCGCACAAGCCATGGTCGTGGCCACAAGCCAACTAACTCATAACTTCATTCTACCCACTTCAAGACCCTGAACCAACACAGAGACAGTAGCAGCTTCAACATAAGCTGCTTATGTTCATGCATGTAACAGCCTATTAATATCCATTAGGTTTCATCCACTTGTTCATCTCAATCACGTCCTGTACCACCTCACCATAAGAGAATATAAGCCTTTACAAATGCAGGTAAAGCCCAGGCACCGCTCCTGTGCCAGGTAAGTCCACTACGGGCTCGCCATAGCCCGTGCTACTTGGAGCTTTTTGTTCTGAGTAGCTGAATCTAAAACAACAACAACATGGTAAATTTGTTTTTGAAAATGTAAGGAGTGCCTTACGAAACGCATCTCTGGGCGCCAGGCTGTATATAGAGTGAAAATTAACTTTGGAGAGTTAGTTTTTCAACTTTCGTTAAATATTTCAACAGTAAAGAAAAACATTACAAATATTGAGAACATTCGTGTTAGAATCATTAATCTTATTCTTTCGGTCATTTTCAAAAACATTATATATATAACATATAACACACACACATTATATATATATATATATATATATATATATATATATATATATATATATATATATATATATATATATATATATATATATTTATTACAGGATTCCTGACCCCGATAACGGGAATTAAAAATAAAAAAAATCTATCATTTAAAATTTATAGTAGTCTCTGCTTTCAATTCGTTTTCTTTTAACTAAAATAATCATAGAAAAATGTAACATTTTGGTTGACTAAGCCATCATACACTATTTCTTTCTTTGTACCAACATATACAAGAGTTCTTACATTCTTGTACAGCAACTAGCACGCATAGCGTTTCGGGCAAGTCCTTAATCCTAATTTTCACACACACACATCCACAGGAAGCAGCCCGTAGCAGCTGTCTAACTTCCAGGTACCTATTTACTGGTAGGTGAACAGGAGCATCAGGGTGCAAGAAACTCTGCCCATTTGTTTCCGACTCCGCCGGGGATCGAACCCGGACCCTTATGACTACAAACCCCGAGCGCTGTCCACTCAGCCATAGCCCCCCCCCCAAAAGGTTTATTAATGCCAAATAATTAACAATAAACATTATTTATAATCATTGTGTCGGGGGACAGGAAGCCAGAGTGTATTCATACACGTTAGGCTTATAACGAGGCCCCACAAGTCTCTATATAATTACTGTCGGTGCCCACGAGTCTGTATATAATTACTGCAGTGATTTACTTGTGTGTACTCATACAGTGTAGCACCCCGGCTGTGGGTGTGTATCAGAGTATCACTGTACCTTACGGTCAGTATCCCACTGACGCAGAATCCCATGAACTTGTAACCAAAATAAATGTATAGCACAGAATGTATATGTTAAGAGATGTTAAGAGACGGCTACGGTCTGCTTCCTGGGGGTGTGTAACAAAAAGAAGGCCTTGTCGAGGACCGGGCCGCGGGGGCGCTAAGCCCCGAAATCGTCTCAAGAAAGACTGTCTTCGGGGTCAATATGACCAGTGACATTGATACCAAGTATAAGAAGGCATCATTTTTCTAGGCCAGCTTAACTAAACTACTCGAAAGTATCCCAGGTATATATTATCTCAAACTTAGTGAAGCTTATGTAATATTTTGTGGCACGCTAAAGCAGTCATATCACAACAGATGTAACCCATAATGCGATTATCGTGCAGAATAACACGTTTCAGCAGATTTCTGTACATCTGGTGCTTCTGTTCACCTAGCAATAAGTTTTAGTCCTAGATGGCCCTTGATAAGCCTAAGAGGCTCCCTATCCCCGATAATAGAAAACTAGAAATGATTGACAGAAAGAGATTAAAAGCGCAACATTTTCCCTAAATATGTGGATGTGTGTGAAGTTAACTTACCTCAAATTAGCACAGTTGCCTCTAGCTTCCTCCTGTACCTAACATTAATTTAAATTTACATAAAGTTTATTCCTAATGAAAAACTAATTGTAAGTTCATTTAATAGATCAGTTCCTATGCCCAGGCTTCAGATGAGTGATGAAAAATGACAATTCTTAGCTTCCGGTTGCATTGAAGAAAATATGTAAAAACTGGGAATGGTCAAGTTTGTATGCACATATTAACGAACCATGTAACTGGCTTTATCTAGGCAGTAACTTGTTTAGCTAAACGAACTTTGAGAGTTCAGTTCCTGAGCTAATTATGTGCTACAATACAAAAGTATTGTTATATACACTAAATTATGTAGCTCGCTTATCAAGGATGTAACTTGCTCACGGGTATGAGGTGCATAACAAATGAACTAAACTGAAAAAATACCATTCCTAGCAAACTTTAATTTATGGCGCATTTATAAAAAAAAAATCTGGGGTGGAGGTAGAAAGACTGACAATATTCCCAAAGCTCACGTACCGTGCAATATTCCTCAGGCTATGTTAGTTTAGGCAATGTTGATATTAGTTAGTGAAAACCAGACACAAACCTGACAGTTTGTTTCCAGACCGCCGCCACCCGCAGCCTTGCGTCGCCCCGCATGTGTTTGTTTACCTGGTCAGCTGATGAGAGCTGACGGCTATGTTCGAACGCCTGCTGTCATTCTTGGCTTGCTCTTACCCTAACTAGTGCAAAATGCTAAAGATCAGGATCTGTTTCGTCAACAGATTTATCCGAATAATATATTATTATTATTGTATTTTGTTTTTAAAGGCACACGACTAGGAGCTCTGCAGACTTAAAAAATGATGACGAAATCTCCGCACGCCTCGAAACCAGAGAAAACGAGCGTGAGTAGACAGGAGCACCATTTTAGCCCTGATGGAACGCTCGGCACACTTTGTCCGAATCGGTCCCTTACATTACACTTAACTACATTTAAACGATAAATAAATGAAATGCCAAGTAGAGTTGGAGAATTTAAGTAGATAAGAATCTACTTAAATATATTTTTAGCACTCTACACTTTTTATCCCCGGGATTGCATGGGTTGTAGACTCAAAACCTAAGTCATCTCTGGGATAGGCATCATTCCGAACACCGGGAGCAGACGGAAACAGTATTGGCAGAGAAGTCTCAAGGTAATGGGCCGTATTCTGAATTCACTTCAGTGACAAATACTGGCACCGAGATTGTTCTTTATATAATATTACATTTCTGAATTTCAGAACTAAGAACGCTGGATGAAAAAAAAAGTTCCACGAAATAAATCTAATCACCTATCATGTAGTTTTTCACTCGAAAGCTGTACTATAGATCTAAAAACATCGCATACCTCATGGTACTACCTCTGGCGGCCGTAAGGGGTGAAGGAAAGAACCAGAATGGGGGAGCTCGCGAAACCTTACACCCATTCCTTCTAATGGGGTTTTGCAAACTGATTAGAAAAGGTAGCACTCAGTGGCCTTCACGGGTAGGTAGGTCGTTCGTTCCTTCAATGTTGTTGTTATAGATTCAGCAACTCGGAACAAGTTCCAAGTAGCACGGGCTATGGTGAGTCCGTACGTTCCTCCAAGACACATTCAGTCTCTCTCTACAACCTGCTGCCAAGCACTTTGGCTTGCCTTAGTACCAGTTGTGTGAGCTCTCAGTCCCGCTTCCTTACACACTAATTCCGCCTTAGACCTATTGTCTTGGGTGTGACCCTCTGTCCTGTGTGACAGTGAATACCAGCATTATCCTCACTTTAATAAGACTTAATTGAAATCCTCAGATTAGGCAAAATTGTAATTAAATTTTGTCAATAAAGATGGTAATAATAATAATCTCCCTGACCCTCTCTCCTCCTAATTCACTTTAGTACATTCTTCAGAACTATTTCATTCATTTTATTTAGAATTTAGAACTTTTCACTCGCCCGTCATCATACATCTGCTTGGTATGAATACAGAATGAATACTCGAATGTCATTCTTATGAGTATAATGAATTATAATGAGTCAAGGACGTATAATGATGATGATGATGCTACAATTGACGTTTATGACTGCAAAATAAAGTAATTATACTGAAAAAAGTGGGGAATCAAGTGTAAAATGTAATGAATGCAGGGTGTAATGAATTGGCCTGTATGGAGTGCAATGATTGTGTAATATGCAATCATGAATACATAGGGGGGGGGGGTTGTAATTATACATAACTGCTACTAACCCAACCCACGACTTGATAAGGGGTTCAGAGCGGACTGAATTAATGTCGTCACTTTCTCTTCGTATGTAGGTGAGATTATGAATTTTCGATCCATTGTTGGTGTGAAGTATTTTCTTTAAACATGAATGTATTATGGCATGGTTGCAAGGCTTATAATGAGTACAGGAAGTGTTATTGAGTACTGGGAGATGTGTGATGGGGTAAGGGATTTGTATTGAGTACAAGAGGAGGGTGTACAGAGTACAGGAGTACTCGCCTCTCACGTCAGAGGACGGGTGTTCGAGGCCAATATATAGTACCCAAGGAGGAGGTTGTAATGAGTACAATGGGAGTAGTTGTGTCATAAGTACAGATTATATAATGAATATTATGGGGGTGTAATTTGAAGAGTGAGTACAATGAGTAAGGATGAGTATAATGAATGATGAGTGCATTCTGATTATTAGTTGAAATGATTACAGAGTGCAACAAGTACTTGTGGTGTAGTGATCACTGAGATTATAATGAGAATATATTGTGCAATGAACACAGATTGTGGGCATATAATAAGTACACAGTGTATAGCATGTAGTGTGTGTGTGTGTGATGAGGACAGGGTGTGTGATGAATGGGAGTGGATTCATTTCAATCACAAAGTATCAGTTATTTATGATAATAATAATAGAATCTGACATGAATAAAAACAATAATGATTACCAAATTTTGAGTAACAATAACTAGCAACATATCAATAACAAAACATTCATCAAAATACTCCTCTTGCACTTAGTAGTGTAAGTATTAAGACGTGAGATGGGAATTTTTGTTTAATATTTCGTGCTGTATATTTGAAACCAAAAATAAATAAGCTGAAAGTTGGCTCAAATAAAAAGCTTCTTGGCACAGTGGTTCAGACTTAGTAAAACAAAGCTATTTAAGTCTATGCAGAACATTCCTTGTCATGTGAGGCATGTGTGAAGAAAGTTGTATTGTAGCAAGACTTAACATCTTAAGATGATGCAAGGAGACAGGCCCAGTCTGGCCCCCCCCCCTCCCCTCCTGATGAAAATATAAATGGGTTCTAAATTTGATGAATAGGGGGGCTATATTACCCGGTTTCAACTGGGAGCGTAGTTTTGATGATCAAACAAAAGTTTTTTAAGTTTTTAGTCAATAAAAAAATTGCTTTGTAAGTATATGACAGAAACCCAAATAAAAATAAAGGTATTCACAATAAAAGTAAGTAGGATAGAAATATTTCTTAACTGTATATACTAATAAAATTAACATGATAATGATTATGTGATTTTGATGACAATGATGAAAACTATTTGATAATTAAATAATGAAGGAAACTGAATGTTGATGATAATAACGATGAGAATGGTGAATGGGTAAGTACAGACTTGTTCAGACTTGTTGTCTCATCTGCTCCTGCTGCAAGACTTAAAACTTCCAAAAAAAGGATTAATTAATAAGTGTTTAATTTATGTCCTTTCGACTTCTGATAACAATTAGAACTGGCAAATATTAAACACAAGAATACTGATGTATAACATGTATATATGTATATATATATATATATACCGTATATACATACATACATATATATATATATATACTGTACATATATTTATTTATTTATTTTTAGTACAAAAAATATATATCAAGGGTTAACATTCAATCATATTTGTCCTAGTGTGTTGTTGGTCTCCTTCCGGACTCTGTCAATACATTTAGTCATCCAGTCACGCACTTGCCCTAGCCGCTGCGGGAAGTGCTTGACGAAGAGCTCATTGCTGAGTGGGTCGGGCAACTTGCCAAAGAGTGGCTCGTGTGTCTTGGCAAACTCCACCAGCAGTGTGTGAGGCTGGGGCTGGTGAGCCAGGCCCAGCACGGCCTCCATGGTGGACCTCCTGAAGACACACAGGGACTCCAACATGCGGGTGTGGAAGGCGCTGAACCTCGAGGACTGGGCGGAGTCGGCTGCCCCGTAGAGCAGCGTGTAGGCGTCCATGAGGCCTGACTCATTGTCCAGGAGCCAGATGGCATCCGTCTTCTCACTCCGGACCTGTCAGACAACAGATAACAAATGTTGGTCAGCGAGCGAGCGTGTGTACTCACCTATTTGTGCTTGCGGGGGTTGAGCTTTGGCTCTTTGGCCCCGCCTCTCAACAGATCAATCAACTGGTGTACAGGTTTCTGAGCCTAATGTGTGTGTGTGTGTGTGTGTGTGTGTGTGTGTGTGTGTGTGTGTGTGTGTGTGTGTGTGTGTGTGAGTGAGTGAGTGAGTGAGAGAGAGAGAGAGAGAGAGAGAGAGAGAGAGAGAGAGAGAGAGAGAGAGAGAGAGAGAGAGAGAGAGAGAGAGAGAGAGAGAGAGAGAGAGAGAGAGAGAGAGAGAGAGAATTAATTTTTGCTATTTTGAAAACAGCAAACGTCATTTGCTACATGAAATAACCTACCACTAACTCTTGAGGCAAATGTCAACTCTGACTGACACATGAAACGTCTTGAGGTGCCACCCTTCAAGGTCTCCCAAGCCCACGCACTAGTTACGGCACAGCCTACACACACACACACACACACTTGTGTATGCACCTGTGATCAGTAATAACCTGTGCAACATTTGTTATTGAGTACTGTGCTTTTTAATATTAGTGGCTGGCCTCCTGCAATCAATATGACTTGCACATGACTCACTGTGGCAACAGTTGCCTCGTGACTTGAGCACTGAGTGTGGCCATTATTGATCTGCTTAAGTGACTGTTCTCCCACCATGGACTGGCTGTGGGACTGCAAGCAGACTGGCTCCTGCCACCGTCTCAGGTGGGAAGCTTTTTGAATGTTTAAACACTTCTACTAGTGCTGTTCTTTCCTCCCCACCCCCACTCCCCTCTGGCAAACCTGTTATCCTCTACCCTCCCTCTCTCCCACCACACACACCTGTCAAGCTCTTCCCCTTCCACTCCCACACACATACCTGTCATTCTTCCCTATCACTGCCCCCCCCCCGTCCATTAAACAGCTCTGTAATCCCCGTCCCTCCTTCCTCACACACATATCTCTGTCCATCCATAGCTTTGCTTTCCCTACTTATCTTTAATGCTGTGTCCTATTGTGTCTTAATCTGCCTTAATTCTTCCTCTGATATTAATTTAAGCCATTGATTTAATATCACTCCAATCATTACTTTAGTATCAAACCAACTATATATATAATATATATATATATATATATATATATATATATATATATATATATATATATATATATATATATATATATATATATAATAACTTTCTTATATATATATAATATTATATATAATGTTATTATATATATATATATAATAACTTAATAACTTATATAACTTTCTTTGGATCTTTATTATGTCAGTAATAGTTAAGAGTGGGCGAAGGGCCTCACCAGGTTGTGAATAGTAGTAGTCAGTATCTGGGGGCGGCGCTCCTTGTCGGCGGCGTCCTGCATGTAAGCGACGCGATCATAATTCCCCGTGAGGTAGTCGAAGACCAGGAGGTCGCTCCACTGCAGCAGCCGCGCCAGGTCCCTCTCCGACGCCTGCTTCAGGGCCTGGCTGCCTCTTACCTCCCTTCTCGAGCCCTCTGCTTGCTCACCTGAGCCGCCCCCCGCCTGGCTCTTTTGCTCTGTGACTCTGGCAACTTTGTAGAGCTTGTGCGGGTTCTCGCTGGGCTGTGGGGACGCCTCTGTCGTCGTCGTCGTCGCCGCCTCCTCCAGTATGCTCAGGGTGGAGTTCTTGAGGATAATATCCAGGAGAATAGAAGGCATGTGGTCCCTGTCCAAATTAAGGAATGTTGTATTATCTCTGCATCATCATAACTATTTTATATTATTATTATCATTATTATTATTATTATTATTATTATTATTATTATTATTATTCGTGTTATTTAGGATAAAAAGCAACACTTGTGTATTTGTGAAATTTATGTAAAGAATTTACACCAAGTCTTTCGCACTCTCCTGAGTGCTTTGTCGAGGTCTGAGTGTGTGATTACGATAAGACTTACATCTTAATGTCTAATGAGGCTGCTATCCTGTTGTTGTTGTTATAGATTCAGCTACTCGGAACAAGTTCCAAGTAGCACGGGCTATGGTGAGCCCGTAGTGGACTTATCTGACACAGGACAGTGCTGTGTGAACGGCTGCTATCCTGGATCCAGTCCTCTTATCCTTCTTGACCACCTGACCATGGACCATGCTGGACAAGAAGGATAAGAGGACTGGACCCAGGATAACAGCCTCGTTAGACGTTGAGATGGAAGTTTCGTCATAATCACACACACTCAGACCTTGACAAAGCACTCAGGAGAGTGCGAAAGACTTGGTGTAAATTCTTTGCATAAATTTTACAAATACACAAGTGTGAGTTTTATCCTATGTTATTATGTCTGTGAGGAGACATTACCATTACTAATTCGTTTTATTGTTATTTATGTAATTATTTAATTATAATTATATGTTATTATTTTATTATTATTATTATTAATACTGCACAACCAAAACAAATGGCCAGAAAATAGTGTTCCACCCCCATGGCCCTTCACCTTGCAGCAAATGTCAGTCAAACCTGCGTAGATCATATATGATCACAGCTTGTCCGTGTACACCAGGCTCCAGCTTCTCTATAAATACCAACTCTACAGAATTCAGGCAGCCGTGTCAGCTTTGTAAATAGATCGTCTCAACCTTTTGGCCACAAGTAGTGTGCTGAACCCTCCCCCCTCCCTCCCCTCTCAACTGACCCCCCACCCCGCGCCATTCTGCTCTTGTGGTTCACTAAGCCCTTTCTTAATTGTCTCCCAGGTCCTCTCTCTCTCTCTCTCTCTCTCTCTCTCTCTCTCTCTCTCTCTCTCTCTCTCTCTCTCTCTCTCTCTCTCCCATGTCCTCTCTCTCTCTCTCTCTCCCACTCAATAAAACATCAAAATCGAGTCTCTATATATGTGGAGTAGTTCAAGCACATTGTGTACATATATCACCATAAACTTGTAATATCCCGTCAAGTGCACAAGTGAGCTTCCTACCACTTACTGAGTAAGGAAATCCTCTTATTAGCCACAACAGTGAGAGTGTGGTGGTGGGAGGAGGGGGGGTTAAGGGGGGTGGGGGTAGCGGATGCTCCACGTATCCACGTATCTCGACTTGCCAACTTTACATGTAATTGACTCCACTCTCCCGATGCTGGCGAGAGTTTGTGTTCCAGTGACGAGGGGGGGGGGGAGGGGGTAACACAGAGGGGAAAGAGCAAAGAAAGATGATGTATTTTGGATATACACATATACGTACAGTACATGTATGTATACCTGATTGATACCTGGTTGATGGGGTTCTGGGAGTTCTACTCCCCAGGCCCGGCCAGGCTTGACTTGTGAGAGTTTGGTCCACTAGGCTGTTGCTTGGTATGTATATATGTATATATATACTTAGAGCTGAGCTTATTCGGATTGGCGTGGCTTTTGTATATTAAACAAAGCAAGAAGAGAATTGTTATCTTAATTGCTCCTCCGACCAGACCATAACACCCCCCCCCTCCCCTCCCCGAGGCTAGAACAAAAACATGTGGAGTTCCTCACAAACACAGACACCAACCTGACCAAGCCCTCGATCCAAGGGGTAAGGACGACGACCGGAGCGTCCCCCCAGCCGGCGAGGGCCATCTTGGAGGTCACGGGGGCCCAGCGAGGGGTCGAGGGTTCGCTGAGGACCACGGGGGGCACGTGGCCCACACCCAGGAGCCGGGCCAAGTAAAAGCTCAGCACCTCTCCTAGGAGCAAGTAGTCGTCAGGGTACCTGGGAATAGGGGGGCATGACAGGTGAAATGGGAGGCATGACAGGTGAAATGGGGGCCTGGTGATGGGGGGTCTCTGATGGTGGTAATGGGGGGGAGGAGCTCTGGTTGGGGTGGACGGGGGGGAGTTATCTGGTATCAGTTGTCTCATTCCTTACATAAACACAGGTCTAATAAATTTAAAATGTATTGAATATATTACATGTGATGCCCTTTGTATTTGTGTGTGGTACAGCACTGGTGGAGTAAGGACACACACACGAAGCTCAACACAACCTTTCCTGAATAACCGGAATGCTAAACATGAACAAACAGTCAACCACACAGAGCAGGAGATGGGCGGCGGCAGACTCACCTGTAGCGGGCGCAGGCGGCGGTGTTCCCGCCCAGCTCCACCCACTGGTTCTTGGGCCGCCCACACCTCTCCCAGGTGGGCTCCTGCAGTCCCTTGACCTCCCGCGACCTCAGCTGCTCCTGCACCTCACCCACGGCCCCGTCGCTCATCCCCGCCTCCTGCAGGAGGGCCTCCACCGCCCTCGAGAAGATCACGCCCTCTTCAATGACCTCCACGCTGTAGTCGTTAACGAGGCTCACCTCCGGCAGGTTTAACCACTTCTCACCCACTTGTGGTGTCTTGAAGGCCGTGGAAGATGAATCCACTTTGTCTTCTGTTTCCGGTTCTTCCTCCTTCTCCTGTTGCTCCTGTTTAACCTCCTCGTTGAGGTCGCCGTCGACATCCTTGATGGAGAAGTCAAAGTATTTCATGTCGAACACGGGGTTGTACTCGTCATCTTCCTGGTTGTCGTAGTTCTCGTCGTAGCTTTCATTCAGTATCAAGTCGTCCTCGTCTTCTGTCTCGTCCTCACTGTACACCTCCTCCACGCTGCGCTTGTACTCAGGATGGTCTTCCAACTTTCTCGCAGTTCTCCCTATGCTCACGTCCCATTTTCTATCGTCCGGGTCCCTCAGTGGTTCTGAGGGACGAAGTGATGGCGTAGGTTCTCCCCTCAGGATCTGGGTGGAGGGCGTGACCTGAACTAGGACGAAGGCGACGACGGAGAGGAGCAAGAGTCCCAGGAGACAAAGCACCACGCTCACCACCCGCTGCATCCGGTATACCGGGAACGACTGGGGGAAGTAGCTACAGGTCCATCGTGACCGGGGCCTGGAAGGCTTGCTCCAGGTTCTGGCCACCACGGGCCGCAAGGGATAGTCCACTGTGGCCAGGAAGTCCCGCGAGGCCGTGGCCAGGTTCAGGCGGGTTGAATCTGACGAGGCCATGGCGGAATTGACAACTATCATGG